ACAATCAGCACTATCAAAAAGGTGACTTCTAATTTGCAGACAAGACACAGTATGGGAGTGGTGGAGTTGCTAAGGAAAAGATACATTCAAATGACTGCCCCTTTTATATGATTGAGTTGTGCTAATTTAGTTTATCCTTTTGAACCCAAGCAAATTTTCAGAAAATGGTGTTTGCTTTAGTATAACTTGTTGAAAGATAATTAATAGTCTTTCACATAGAAGTTGTAGGTCAAGTGTAAGAACTGAGTGTATATTAGTGAACATTAAAACAATGAGGATACCTTATAATGCTGTCAACTCTTCACTTTTGGATTTCACCTGTGATCTGTATTGTTACTCTCTCAACAAGGGCTGCACCCTTCAGGGTATCCTTGTTATTTTATAGTTCACCAGAGTTCTGTTGCCTTTCTGGAAATATATGGCTTGGCTTTGGAATTGGATGAGTTTATGAGAGAACTAGTAAATTACAGATGATTCTTGAGAACTTTATGACAAATCAAAAAGAATTACCTTTCTGTAATATTGTGTGTTTTGAGATTCATAGTCACAGTGCTTGAGAGGAAAGTGTGTGTTCCATAAAATAAGCAAAAGCTTATTTTATGCATCTCCTCTCTTTTTTAAATGATTTAAATAGATTGCATGGTAGGAAACCTCCTTGAAATTCTTATCAGAGGTTTGATAATGTGATATTAACCCAAGAAGGAAAATAAAGATAATATGATGCTGAACTTATTTTGGAAGAGACCAAGCACTGACATAGTTCAGTATTATAGTTTCACTAATGGACAATCCCCTGGAAGCAGATTTGTGGAAACCTAATACTCAGTTTCTAATTTAAAAATTATTTTTTTTACAGCGCTCCTTAAATTTCTTTTGGTCATTCTTTTTCATGAGAGGATATTAGATGAGGTCCTGTGATTAAAAATGATGGTATTGAAGAGTTTTTCCTTCTTTTAAACTGACCTGAGCATTAAGTTGCTTGTCCTAAATGAAAAGCAGTGAATATTTAGCTTTTCTCCCTTCTTGGGAAGTGAGCATCCCATGCCTCAGTTCTGAAGCGGAAGGAACGTTTTTTGTGTTGAAGGAACATTTAATCCGTGGTCTCTGAAAGAGTCAAGGTCCCTGTTATGTCTGTTTGAGACAGTGACTCTTCCAGGTATGTTTTCCACCTGGAACATTTCAGCACTGAGGGTTGAAAGAGGATCTACCTCACCAATATCATAACGTCATGACTACATGGTGTGGTTGATGCATTGAAACGCATGTTACCACTGCGGCTATAAAAGCTTTTTTTTTTTTTTTGGTGGGCTTTATGTGGAGGGAGAGGGTATAGGGCAGGCAGTTTAACCAGCTTGCTGTGAGCATGTACTCCAATGCTTTGAATTCTTTGTATATTCGTGATGGGTGAGTGCTCGTAGCTGTAGTTGGGAAGGGCAGGAAAATGGGGACATCCTGAGTTCACAGGACATTGTAGCAAACTGGGCAAGACTGAATAGAAGGCTATCTGTTGCTAAATAATGATTTCTGTAGCAGGAACAGAAGCAAGTTGAGGAAAGAGTAGACAAGAATAAATGGGTTTTGTATTCTGTGCTTTACATTAATTCTAAGAACGTGTGAGAGCAACTATGCAGCAGCCAGTTCTTTGTGTCACCTCGTGTTCACCTGCCCTAGAAATGTTTTTATTAAATGACCTAGATATATTAATAATATCAATTAAAAGTAAAGAAGTGGGAGCATAACTTTATGTGTGAATTCCTTAGCTGGCAGGACAAGAGGGACAAACAAGCCTACAATGGATACTCACTTTTGGTTTCCTTTCTGATAGTATAATTGCCATTTGTACAATCTTGTTTGAAATAACTTCTGCTGCTCTTGAGAACCTTGTGATAACAGGCTTTTTGTGGCACAGCTGTTTGTTGCATTCATGTTTGCATGCTGGTTGACATGCAGTTGAAGGAGACAACCTCAGTCTGTCAGAGCAAAACCACCATATCTCACTCTCATTTGCATTCCACATGCCATGTTTCAATTTTCCATCGTTAAATAATAACTTGTAGCTATGTAGAGTCTTTTATTAGGGATCTCAGAAAGCTTTATGAATATTGCATGAATGAATGGAGCCTAGCAACATCATGCCTGTGAAGTACAACTAGGTAAGAGTCATTATCTCTGTTTTATGCAGGAGCAAGATAGGACACTAAAGCACAGGCAGATTAGGCTCTGAATTTCATCCCCAGGTTGTGAAAGCACTGTCTCACAGGAAAGCAGTCAACTGTTGAATGTATATATTTGCAAAAGACTGATATATGTGTATGCAGGTAACATGAGCGGAGCTTCAAACTAAAACCTTTTATCTTCAAGGTCACGTAACGAGTTTAATCAGAGTGAGGAAGAGAACCGACGTCTTTAGTCTCCCTGTTCTGTGTTTTAAACCTAAAGCTATTCATTCTCCTTGAAAGACTTAAATTAACAGGGAAGTTGATATACCCCAGTGAGGACTAATCCTCCTCAAAACTTCATGTGGGTTTCTCTGATTTGTTATCTGCGTTTGCTAAATGGTTTTTCCCCCTTACATCGTCTTTTTAGTTGGATTGCTCCCCACTGAGTTGAAAATAAATGTCAAACAATATGACTTAAAGAAAAATCCGTGTGTTCCTGAACTGTCTGCTTTCCCCAGGAAATACTAGCCAATTAATAAAGCAGAATGAGGGATTTTGCCTAGGGAGCCATCATGAAATAAGGAGTGTGTATAAATACATGCACAAAGAGACACATACAAACCCATTAAAAGAACATTTCATTTGGACAGGATCTACTTATCAGCGTGGATATTTATGAGGCTCTGTAGAGCATGGACAAACACAAATCATGTGGAGGATGCTATTTTGAAAGGCTAATAAAATTTTCCTTGTATATATATTTTTGTTACTACAGAAGGAATCATCATGAAGACCATGAAGCTGTTACTGGTTAAGTCTCTGCTGCAGAAGTTCTGAAACAGATGTTTTTCCCCAAAACATTTAGGAGGATGTTATGATTCATTTATATACTACCATTTCCATACTGGAAGAAATTTCCCTTTGTCATCCAGCTTGAGTATCTCCCTCTGACCACCTTCAGTAACAGTTGTGACTTTCTCTGTGGAGATCTGCTCTAATTTCCAATTACCCTAAATATTAAGATATTTCCTTATAGCTAATGAGATTTCTGGCTGAGATTCAAACCCAGATTTTATGCATTGATTTTGCACAAGTTGCCCGTGTTGTTTCCAAGTGATCTGTGCACATCATATGCAATTTATGTTCATCTTCTGATTACTTGTCCTTATCTCAATCTTCTCCACCTAAAGGCTAGTAAGTATGCTAAGATAGAGTTATCACAGCCATGCCATGTGGGAAAACTCAGTAGTAGGATTCACTATTACAAATGCCAGACTGTTCGAAGGAATATCTCACTTCCTGAAATCTTAGGGATTACTTGTGGCAGAAGCAATAAAAATCTTCTTTAAAGTGACTTGTGAATTATTAAATAAATTTCTTTCAAACTGCTTTATTACTCATAGGAATTGTATCAATCAACAGTGAGAGCTAAATTACTAGATCAGTCAGAAAATATTGTTGCAGCTGAAGAATCAATGCTAATTGAATCATTAAGGCATTATTACATGAAACACAAATACCTCAGGATGATTACTCTTTGCTCTGCTTAATCTATAGTCTACCAAAAAGACATAATGCCAACAATTGTAATACTTGATTGTTTTCCTAAGCATCATATTTTCTCAATATAGTATTTTTCTCTATTGGTGTCCTTTTGCTTAGAAGTCTCCTACTAGTAAATTAGAAAAAAAACAACAAAAAAGCTGAGCTTAGTTTAATGCAATGCAAATACATTTTCTCTGCAGTTCAGAGGCCAAACTTGCTTCAACCAGACTCCCACTGACTACAATAAAGTTCAGAGCTGGGAGCATTTTTAGCTTGACCTGTTTTTGCGTTTTTGAAGAACCTTGTCATTCCTATGTTGGTTGAAGCAAGGTTGGATCTGCTGGAGACTGTTTACAATCTGTAGTAAGACAGATATCGATTAAGGGAACTCAGTGCCTTGGCTCTCCTCTACGTGCGTGTTTTGCGCTGCTTCCCTTTTCACTGATGGCCAGAAAGGTTGGCTTTTAGTGCAGGCGACGAAGGATGTGGGTGCTGTCATTATCCTTGGATTTATCAGGCTCTGGTCACCCAGGATGATGTGGGATCTCCTGATTGCTGCGCAAGCCCTCTAACATGTGGATATCTACAGTCAGTTTGCTGGACTTTGTTGCTGTGAGATTGAACGAACATTTCTCTGTCCTCTGGCTCCTGTAATGTCATTGTATCATGGCTGAGGTGTAGTGACAGACCGACAGCCCGTGCATTACTGACGTATTTGTGGGTGAGAAAGTGAGTTTATGTGAGTGTTGGTGCATATGTGCTAGCAGTGGTTATAACGATAGTGTTTAGGTGGGTAGAGGGAGGCTTGCTGGGGTAGATGGGAATAAGAGCATCTGTGTGAGAAAGTGTATGAATATGTAGGTTAGAGTAGGTTTGAGGCGGTGTTTTTGTTTTGATCTTCCTACTCACTCTTCTTCTTTTTTTCCCATGAAAAAAACAACTTTGGGTTTAACATATGTGCTTGCACTCATAGCAGGATTTTGATATATGGGGTGTGCTTTTTTCTCGTCTTCTTCCAGTAGTCAAACCTGCATATTGTCTGTCAAAGAAACCCAGGGTATTTCCAGCCTCTTGATTTCTCATTCTTATAGATCAGGAACATCATTTTGGTGTATAAGTTAATTCCTTTTGCAAACTGACACCTTCCACTCCCATCAAAGACTTTTTCAGTAGTGTTTTTATATGTTTTTGTATAGTCATTACCTATGTTTTTATATGTAGTGTTTTTGTATGTTTTTATATAGTGATCAGCTAAAGAGCTGAATGGAGCTGGAAAATAATAAGTCAAGGAACCACAGAACCCACAACATATTCTTTAATTCTAAAGTTCATTGGCTACATTAAGAAGATTAATGAATAAAAGAGCTTGGTGCCAGCAAAGGCCTGGAGTGCACCTTTTGAATTGCTGTTAATGTAATTTAATGGATAGAACAATACAGCTGCATCACTTCTTTTCTGGTTGTTGGGGGTTTTTTTCCTATTAAAGTAAACATTCTGTTTTGTATTCATGCCAATGGCTCTGCCACAACCTTTCCAGGCAGTTTGTGTGCCAATCCAATGGATCAGCTGGGAAATTTACGGTGTACTTTTTTCTTTCTCAGCCATTTCCACCTTTCTCCTCTTCTGTAATCACAGGACTGCAGATGCTCATCATCCCAGACTGGTGTGTGATATGGAGCAAGATGCAGTGGAGAGGCAGCAAAACATCATGTAACCCTTCTCATTCACATCAAAATATATCCAAAGATTTTTTTTTTCCCCTCCCCTCCGCCCAATTCCTTCGCTCCAATTCCCAGGCCTGTATAATCCAAGGCAGTGCACTGTGATAGACACACATCCACATCTCACCTGATGAATTTCTTGTCCTAACCACTCTTTGCAGAAGTTGGGTTCTTCTGTTTGGCAAACAAACAAATCCATGTGAAGTTCCCTCTGTAGTGAAATAGAGCAATTATTTCAAAGTACCTACAGTAACAGAATAATTTTAGAGGAGACATTTCTGGCATATCAGACAGTTAAGACATAATTCCCTAGGTGGAAATTCAGCTGGGATACAAGGCTAAAAAATGCACTCTGAATGTACAGGGCTTTTTAGGAGAGACAGAGATCTGATACAAAGATTCTGCTACTGAAAAGTGGTCCCTAATTACAACCACAAAATGTTTCAAATGTAGCCAAATTGTAGAACTAATTCACTAACAACCCTTGCAGTACTTTATTTTTTTTGACTTGGATAGTTTCCATTTGGAAATGGCCTATTCCCACCTCATTCAGCTCGAGGTACTACTAAATAGAACAGTGAAAACAATATGATTGAATCAAAAGATTCACAGACGTTGGGGGTATTTAACAGTGATTTACTGGCTCATCTGTCTTGTGCATTTCTCTTTTTATCTTTCCAATAAAGACCTATCAGCATTTTCTTCAGATCCCCCCCTTCGTGGGCCCTGTGGCTAATCCTACTGGCATTATTGAGATTTATTCCATATTTTCAGTAGGAACGGGATTTGATCTATAAGAGTGGACAAAATGTTTAAAAGGTAAAGGAAGAATTCTAAGATCTCTTTCAAGTTAGTTACAGGTGAAAAACTCTAACATATATAAAAGTGAGGCCAAGGATAAAATGGAAAGAAGGTTTTGCTGCTGAATACTGAAGAGTCTAAAAATACCAAGAACAATATCTAAAGATAAGGATGAAAAAATCAACACAACCTTTTCCATCATATGTGATTGTGACAAATCTCAAATCCCAAATTCCTTTTATAAGTATCGTTCAAGACCTTCCTGGCTCTAAAGCTTATTAATTCCTCTTAACAAAATAAGTCTACTTTCCAGTTGATTTTAAGAGGTTTTATTCTCTCCTGCAGTGCTCCATGTTTGAGTATCAGGTCTCAGAAATATTTCCCCTGTTTGTACATGAAAAATGGAAAGAAGAGTGAGATGTGCTTACCAAAAAGAATGAAGTTAAGTCCTGTTTTCAAGCTGCACTTTCAGAATGTCACTCCAAGCTCATATTTAAAATGTGGCACTTAGGCCACATTCTTAATATCATTCTCATGAGGGCTGCTGGGGAGATTCAATCCTCAGGTAAGGTTAAAGATGGTCTTGCCTCCTAATGAAGTCTAACTTTGTGAACTTAGTACTCTTCCATTCTCTTTGCTGCCAAACTTCTGTTCACAAGATACATCATCTGCTCATTCCTGCCTCTATAGGTGTACAGTCCACGAGAATTGGGTTTGACATGTACCTGGATGATGGCTAGCAGAGGACATGTGAATCTAAGGAATGTTCAGAACAGAAACAGTCCACGTATTTCTCTGTTTCTCTTTTTACCCTGCTTTCCTGATTTTTCATTCTGTCCCTTGGTTCTCCTCCAAAAATAAATCTGGACACTTCCTCAGTTTCTGAAGTGCTTTGATATTAAAGGCTTCTTCCAGCAAGTAAAGTTAGCTCCCTATAGTAAATCCTAAAGAAATGCTCAAAGAAAACAGATGATTAATTTTTTCAGTGTTGGATTCTCAGAACCTCTTAGACTGCAAACAGATCATCTAGGCCATGCAAATCAAATCTCCCATGAATTCAAACCTAGTTTCTAGGTAGTCTGAAAATAGTTGTCGAATTTGCTTACCATTTTCATTTAGGTGGGCAGCTTCTGGTCAGCAATTCCGTAAGACCTTGGATATTCACCTTCCCTGCAAAATTTTTCCCCGGTGTTAAAAAAGCTGTTGACTGGGATCAGTGGCAGCAACAGACTTTCTGCTCAGTTTGGTGCCAGTAACTGACTGTGTCGAGATCTTGTATGATGAAGTTGTACATAGTGAGATCTGTCTGGAAAGTGCCCTTTGGACCAGCTATGTGGACTTGTTGAGAATGGTTTGAGAGGAATGTTTTGAATGGATTGTGAATGAAAAATAAGTTTACTGAACTAGGCCTGATGTGAAATGTTCAGATCAACTTCACCGTTATGGAGAGACAGTAGGAAGCACTGACTTTCCATTTGTTTTCCATGACTGTTTCATTCTGTGTCCTGTAACCTGTGAGTGATCTGTGCAGCTTTTGTCCCTTCCTAGATGCAGCTGTATTATGGCAGTGTCACAGTCCAGTTGCTCTCTGTTCTGCATCCTACTTCCCAGGCTCTGGAATTCAAAGGGAAAAAACATCACCTACATCTTCCTAGGGGCAGTCGTGCCCCTGACAATAGGCAGTCCTACTCCAAAGATGCCTGGAGCAGCTCAGGATAAGGAAAAAAGGAGAACAGGCTGTTGGCAGATAATGTGAGATATGAAAAGCAGTTCAGGTTAATTTATTCAGACCAATGGTTTAAAAAGCAACCAGTGTGTGAACTGTGTGCTGGGTTCCCTCCCTTCTACTGCTTCTGGCCCCTGTCCGCAGATCTCTGCCCAAGGGCTCAAGTTAGTCGGAAACTCCGCTGTCCTCCATCCTTTGGGCCCAACCCTCTCTGTGTGTGTTTGTGGGCTTTCTCTCTCCCAAGCTGGACAATACTGTGATACACTCTCTATGTCCCTGACTCTTGGTGGCAACCTTGGTGGGGAGTCCAGCAGCTCCCCGGCTGCTCTGGTTTGACCCTGTTAGCTGTGATTTACCAGGGCTCACACACTGTGTGACATACAGCAGGCTGCAATTATTTTCTTCCCCTCTGCTTGCTGCAGCACAGACCCCTGGCTGGCTGGATGCTGGCCAGGGCAGTTCTCTGCCTGCTGGTGGTTTCCTTGTTTAAATACTGTTCTCAGTAGAAGAGCAGTTTGGTGATAGAGAATCTGTCCCAAAGCGTTTACTGTGAGCTTTCCAAATCAGTTCTCTTAATACTCTCTGTGAATTGATTAGCTTTTGCTTTTTTACAGGATGGTGTGACAGTGCATCATATTGATGTTGGGACATTGAGATGCTTCATTATGCAGAGCTGCATTTGCTGTCTCTGTTGCTGAGTGAATACGTGGTTGGATGTCGGTCACAGTCCTCAAATCCTCCAATAGTTTTTGCCTTGCTTGAGCACGGATCCTGTGACAGCATTAATTAAAACTTAGAGGTTCCAATAATTTAGGTACAGATTCTGCCGTCAGCTATCTGTGTACTTTTCACAAACAAGTAAGAGCTCTGTATTTATTTTAGTTTCATCTATCCTCATCTTCCTTTGATTTTTCAGAAAGGCAATTGCTATTGAAATTCAGTGCAAAAATAAGGAACAGAAAAATATAGAAACCTTCTTTAAAATTCAGCTCTGGATAAGGCCCTGAGTTTTCCCCTTCTCAGATTTTACTGGGGTATCCCTTACTCACAGAGGCTCAGTTCCCACAATCCTATCTCAAGAAAAATTCAGATTTAGACTTCAACACTCCTGAACTATTTTGAAATCCAAAAGCACCTAAAATGGCTTAAGCAGAGTCTCCATTTTGGGATAATCATCCACGCATTTTGCATTCCTCCTCAGATTGTTTATGCTGAACATTCTCTTAATCTCACTGCTGTAGTGCTATTTTCTTTGTAAGAAATAATAAATCAAGCTCGTGGTGTTTTCTTCTCTGCCACCCACCTTTAGTCCAAGGCCTGTGCATAGTGAGCAGACCCAGCTTCAGTGATGGTGCAGGAATGCCTGGAATCTCTCTGATCTGTTTCCAGGGAACATTTCTCCATGGCACAGCCAATGAGCAAGAAAACTTTCTTTTACCTTGTAACAAAGCCCTTCCTCTGCTCAGGCTCCTCAATGCATTCGGCTTCCAGCTGCAAGTGAAGGGTTGTGTCCTTGGTGCCATGGGGCCTGACAGGTGATATATGCTGCCAGTTGGCATCCTGCATAGGAAATAGGTCATTATGGAAAGGTGGTGGCACTGCCTGATGAACGAGAGTTCTTTTCTTCTCCTGGCACCAATTCTGTTATCTGCATGGAGGCTTTACTCTATCCAGTGAGAGTTAGGAGTGATGCTGTGCCTTTGATCTCTGAACATTCCTGAGAGCAGAGCGTGAGGTGAGGAGCAAGGGGAGATGATGCTTCTCATCCCCTGCATGGAAGCCAGAGAGCAATGCTGAGTGTTATGCCCAGAGAGGGGGAGAAGACTAACTGATGCTTGAATGTTTGCTTGCATGTACTTCTGTGCAAAGTCAAATATTTGAGATACTCAGATGATAGAAAATTCAAGTGATATAATTAGAAGAAAATCTAGGACCAGGCCTTAAGTAAAGTTTAAAAGTGTGATGAAAATTAGGCTTCTACATCTTTTATCATCCCAGGTGGGGAGCTACTGAGATCAGTGCTTTTTAAAACCACACTGCCTTTCTAAATATTTAAATATGACTCAGAAGCTTATTTTCGGAAACCTGGTTATGGAAACACGTAGCAGAGTAATACAAATATTTTTTCTTAGTCCTCCTTTTAATGGAGATGGCACTGCTTCGCAGTTGTTCAAATTATCTATAATGTCCAGCAGTTTGACTTCAAAACAGACTTCCTCAAGTACTTCACTGTCTTTAATACTAAAAGCTGTATCACACCCTTGTTAGGCAAAATGATATTATTACTTTCGGTTTAAGAGTAAGGAGCAGAATGATTAAATTCATTGGTCAAATCTGCTGAGAAAGTTGGTGGTAATACTTCAAAACAAAAGGAGGAAGGAACCTTAGCTATCAATTTTAATTTTTTGAAGTTTTCAGCTGTTTCTGCCTTTAGAATATTTTAAATGGTAGGTTGGTTTGGTTTGGTTTTTTGGGTTTTTTTTGACAGACTATAATTTGTTTTATTTGAAAGACTACAAGTGAAATTATTTTATTCCTTTGGTTCAAACTGAAATTCTAATTGCATACAAGTATAAAAAACAGGATGATTTATTGGTTTTCTCCTTTTCTTCTTGGCTACCAAATACTCTTTTTGACTAAGAAGTAGAGAAAATGAAAGGAAGTAGAGAAAATGAAAGGAAGTAGAAAATTAAGGTTAAGGATCTTGTGGAAGGGATGCTTAGTTACATACTCCTCAGACTTGGACTTGGAAAAAAATCTAGGGGAAAATTTTAAAGCTGTAAAAATTAATTACTTTATCTTATCCAGTTTGCATCCTTATGATGATGAAAGAAAGTTTGAAAGTTACTTCTGGGTTTTTCTTTTTCTCTTAAATTAGAGTTTCTGTTCCTTACAGAGAAGTTAACTGATAAAAGATAATGAAAAGACATTTGAATTTCCTCTTTCCAAAAGTGAAAAATATAATTATAATTATAAAGAAAATGTTTTCTAAAAATCACACTGACTAAAACCAAAGTTTCAACCAATATCCAAATAATGTATTCTTTTTTTTAATCAATTTTTTTTTCTTTTAGCTGAAATCTGAGGCTTCTGTCTAAATCAAGCCAGGAAATTTCACTTTGAAGTTACAATTTTTGTTTCAGATAAATAAAATTTTCACTAAGCATTGCCTTTCTGTCAATCTTTTGGACAATATTAAGTAGATATATTGTTGTGCCTCGGCTTTGGTGGATAAATGTTCACTGAATGAAAGGATGATGTACAAAAACCTTCCATTTGAAAGCTTTAATTTAGCTCCATTGAAAGTGGTGTCATATCCATGGATTTTTGTAATGGATCTTTGAAATCACGCAGTTTTCAGGGGAATGAGGGACCAGAGAGTTCTATAGAGGGAACTAATCAAGAACCTTTAAACTACGTTCACAAACATGTCTCCGCTACGTGTGTGAGCTGTGGTAGGGGGTTTTCCAAATCTAAGCTCACCAGAGGAAAGAGTAAATGAAATAAATTATTGAAAGATGGGGCAATAGTAGCCCAAAACAATCTATATTAAAACTACTGGAAAATATATTTGTGCTGAATTTGGTAAATATTTTCAATTTTATGAAATTCAAAATATTTAAAGTGTAGATATTTAATTCTCCTTGAAACAGATTGTATCTATTTATATATATAAAATGATAGGAAAGATGTCACCCAACTTGAAATAAGCTTCCAGCTTTTGATTTTGCTGGAGGGGAAAAAGAAAAAAGTTGTTCCACATCAAGCTTAAAAAAAAAACGTTTTCAGCTGTACCTAAGCCAAAAACCCCAGCAAACATTTCTTTAGCTCTAAGGAGAAGTTTGCTTTCTATCTATCAGACAAATATCTGAATTAAGATACAAGATCCGCAGCGTAACTTCACTGTCTCCTGATATCTCCCTTCTTCAGTGTTGCTGTGAGTTCCTTTGTATTACTTACCTGTGCTTTCAGCTTTCCTATGGAACTCTCCCTAGTTACACATATAACCAGAGGGCAGCTGCTGGCAGGGGACCTGAAGGCATTAAACAAAGTTTTTCACCACATCACTCCCCCTCCATCTTCATAGTGTTGCCTGTTGTGGCCAGTCAGAACTTCCTGGTGAAGGCTGAGAACATCTCGCAGTAAAAGCGGCTGCTGTTCCAACAGCACAAACCGCACGAGTCAAATGAGACTCTCTCTCATATCGATGGAATTGGAAGGGCCATTGCACACCCATAAAAAAATTGGGTTCTGTTCAACAGAAAGCAATGGTATAACACGCACATTAAGAGCCAATTAAAAACAATGTCATTATAAGCAATATTCTTGTTGGATGGCTAACACAGCTCTGTGACTCTGTCTTATCCTCTTATGTTATGTTGAAAAACTGATTATTCTGGTGCCAAAGGATAAAATGCTCTGGAATTTAGTTCATTTTATCTTATGTCTCAAGTGCTAGTGCCTGGCTGCCACCTCTTTTGTCATATTTGGAGTTCTGCATCTATGGACTGTTTCAGAATCAAAAACATGCCCCTCTCACT